TGACTGCTCCTTATTGTTATAATAACCTTTCGTTTTTTTTTCTGCTTTCGCTGTCGACGGAAGTCGCAGGAGTTGGCAGGACACAGGAGACAGGAGGCCAGGAGTGCAATGACAGCAGTCAGCGTCGGTCCTTGGTCCTCGGATCCGGTCGCAGGCATTACGAAAGGCTCTCTTTTTCCTCTGTCTCTCCTTTGGCACAGCTTTTTGGAGGATTTCTCGGCTTTCTTTTTTGCGGGATATTTCGTTCGTTGACTCGAACTGCGACCTAGGATCTGCGCCGACCTTAGGCGTCGGCAAATGGCGGCCTCAGTTTAATGCACTCGCCGAGGTCACAGGACATCGAACACAGGACACAAGCGGCGGTCAAAGCCATTTGGCCCCTTGACCCCACAGAGAGCAGCCGTAATCACACTTCAATTACATTTGTTTTGAGATAAATATTAATGTGACAGGATTTGATTTTCAGTCGTGGGTCGTAAATAGATTTTCAAGTGTTGGCTATTCGGCATATTCAAGGGTGAATAAACCGAAACTGAAATGTGAAAGGTTGCTCGAGGTCAATTGTGGCTGATGAAATGTGTGAACATGTTAGTTTAGGAATTTTAATTTGTATTTTATTATTATTTATTATTTAGTTGAAAGTACTGAACTTTGGTCCTGATAGTCCTTTATTTTCCTGATAGTTTGACCATATAAAAGTGAGTCATGTGAACATGATACTTGAATCCATTCATGACTATATAGATTTCATAAAAATTAGGAATGACCACATGTCATGAATTATCTAATAAAATTAAGTGACTAATGAAATCAGTGATGTTATCGAAGCTCATAAAAGGTGTCACATAATGGACCTTATCACATAGCTTATGAAATTATTATATCAAATTACAATAGGTCAGTTACTCAAGTTAGTTTATAATAAAAGAAATACATATGTACTGGGTTTAGTTTTTATTAAGAACTAGAACAAAATAATAAATATGAGATGATTTAATGCTAATTTTAACAATAAATTGAAGAGGAATTAATTAGATCTCCTTAATTTCCAACTATCTAAAATTACTCAATATTAATTGATTAATTTTTCAGTAGTTTAGACTATTTTCCTTCCAGAACTTTCTTAATCTTTTATCCCACACTCTGTGTTACCCCGCCCACCGAAACAAGTTTCACCTTTCTGCTACTCAAATTTCCCTCGACCGAATGCAAAGTATTTTTCGAGAAGAGAAAATGCCAAAGAAAATTCGCCAAAAGATTTTTATGAGGTCAAAACTCATTACACGTTGCACAGTGCACACACACACACACAGTCATAGGCACTGCACCATGTCGGTGTTAGCCCCAATTCGGCGAGTGGGAAAAAGAAAAGCTGCAGCAGGCAGCGGGCCATGACAGTTGCAGAGTTGCAACTTTCTAATGCGGCAACAGCAACTCAAAACGGATGTGGATCGCGGCAACGTGGCAGCATTATGTGTGCCACACAGCAACAGCAACAACAAGATGCAACAAGATGCAGCAGCTAGCCAACTCCAGCGCAAGAGCAAGAGCAAGAAAAACGAATTTCACCAAACTGCTTTCCACTGCAAATTACTTAACTATTTTCCCAGTTTTCGCTTTGTCGTGCAATTTGCAAACAGTTGTTGCATGTTGTTGCATATTAGCGGCTGCAACATCTCGCCATCGCCATCGACATCGGCAACCGAGGCAGTGAAAAGTTGGTCATGACAATCATCAAATGGCAAAACACTAAGAGGGGGTATTATATGTATCTTTCGTATTCCATTTATTTTATTATTTCTAGTGTGTCGGCGGTGGTGGTGTTGTGTGCACTGATGCATTCCGCCGTCAGCCATTGCAATTTAGGTGGCCTCTGGTTAGGGTCTCCTTCCTCTCCAGCAAATAGCACTCGAACTTCAGCTGAAGTGGCTTTCTCGATGGGGGAGGGGGGAGAGAGCCCACTTAGTCACAGGAATATGACTAACCGACTGGTGCGACCCTAAGTTCATTAAATGAGTCAGCAGCAGGTCGGTCCTTCTTACCACAAGACCTTATTTTTGAAGACCCTTTACATTCTTTAGGGCCAAAAGCCCCGAGTTCCTTGGGAAATGTTCTACCCTAGGGGTGAAATAGAGAACTTTTTTAACTGGTTAATCATCTTTTGATATTTTAGAATATTTTTTTAAGTATATAAAATATTACAGGACTAACAAAGAAACTTTAAAGATTTAAGCATTATCCTGTTCAAAATTCAATACTGTTGTGAATGTTTCGAATTAATATAAGTTCTTCGTTATCTCATCTCATCTAAGTAGTAAATTATTGAACCTACCTAACATTATTTATATATTATTATATATTATTTTATATAAAAATAATATGTCTTCAAAATATTGTGTTTATACATTTTAATAATTAAATATTGAAGCTATGAAATATTTTAGAATTTAAAGAAGGAAATGGAGTACATCTATATAAACTTGAATTCAAAACTAATTTGAAGAAATTAAACAAATAAAAAAACAAACTATATTATTTTCGAAAAAAGTTAAATTTCACATTCGATTTTTTCGACTAGTTTCGATATATTTTGGGTTTCGATTAGGTATTTTTTAGAATCACTTAACATTATCTCAGATCACCGAATATATAGAAAAGAGGCCCAACGATAAATATTTTTTTATAAGTTCCTTAAAATCCAAAACTATTGTTAGAAAAATAAAAACTAAATAATATAGAAGCTTATTAAAATGTATAAAAAGTAAGTAATGGGGTTCTAGGATATTTGTAATATTATTTTGAACTATCGATCAGACATTAGCTTAACCAATATTGGTTAAGCTAAAGATGACTGAAGGTTTATTAAGCTATGATTATATTAACATTCTTCCAAATACCTGGTAATGAAAATAAATATTTGTAAATAATAATTACCTAGTAAATCTAAATAAAAATAAACTACTTAAAGATAAAGATATAGACTAGTCAGTCCAACCACTGTCAGCATTTCTTTTAATGACCAGCAATCTTATACCATATTAAATGTCGAATAAAAACTTGATTTAAAATCCTGACAAATCCGCTTAAGCAGTTAACTAACTAGCTAGGTGAAAATAAAGAGCTTCAATGCATTTCTATAAGATTAATTATCGTTGGCAAGTGTACTCAATAAAGTTTTCTGGGATTAAGACTTTTCTGAGAGGGAGATATACCGTTTTGGCCCCTTAATTAGAAACCAGTTAAGTGTCGTCGCCCAGCAAAGCACTTAACTTGATCTATTAACTCTATTTCTATTTATTTTTGTTAACTTCTTTTGGGATTGGGTCGAGTGAGAGAGAGATCCATGGCTTCGATATCATGCCCGTGCCCCAGTGATCTAATAAACGAGGCATTGTCATTCGCTCTACGCTTGGCATATCAGAAACCGACTTTGTTTGTCACTCATATGCCCGAAGCTGAAAACTGGGACACATTCATTAATTTATCGCATGCAAAACAATCCGCAAATGTATCCAAGGTGTGTGTGTTTGGAGTGTGTTTGATGCAGCTGCCTGCAGTCGCTTGGTCGACACACAAAAAAATAGAAAGTTTTTCGCCAAACCGTTTCGTTGTTAGCTGCAATTTTCTCTTTGCAATTTGATTAAATAAAATATTGTGTAAAGCCGGCAGAGCAACTTTCCCAACAGCAACAGCGCAGCCACGACTTCTAAGTCGGTTACTAGATGCAATAATAATTGCATTTGTCCCACTTTACTTTCACTTGGCAAGAGTCCCAAGCAACAAGCAACAAGCAACAAGGCAGCGCAGGCGTCGACTTTGACTTTGTGTGGAGTTTGCCTGTTGCAGCTTTTCCAGCTTTTCCAACTCCTCTCTCCCTCCCTCTCTCTCTCTCTCTCTCTGTTGCAACTTTTTCCAGTCGCTTGGTGGAAACTGTTTGCCATTTGGCTGCGCAGGCTGGCCGGGCAAAAAGGAAAAGTGGGTCAAGCGCACCATTGTTGTAGATGCTGCCTGTGTTGCTGCTGTTACTTGTTGCATGCAGCCACTTAATTTACAATTGCCGCTGCAAGACACACACACCATTTACTATCTATAGGTGTGTGTGTTTGTGTTTGCCATTTGATTTATGAAACTGGGTTACCAAAGCCAATGCTGGCTTTCCTTTTTCTAACCCAACTACAATTTGGGAATAACAGAAAATATATATGTTTATCGCCACTAATTCGATATTTGACGGGATGTTCGATATACCTATATATAAAATCGATATTTTATGGTTTCAATATCTGATTAATAGATCAATATTATGATTGACATATCTAAGCAATATAAAAGCAGAAACTAATTGTATCATTAAATGCCACATTTTTCATTATATTAAATTTGGATGTTTATAAAAAACTATTTTTAAAAACATAATCATTAAAAAAAAAAACAAATAAATTACATACATAATTAAAATGTTGTATATACTATAGGTATTTTGCGGATATTATTTTAATTTGAAATTGAAATATTCTACGTATACGTAATATTTTTCTGGAACTTTTCTATAATATTGTTATTTGAAAATCAAATTTATTTAAAAATTTGATAAATAAAAAAATATATAATCTAAAAATCTCTACCCCAATTAAACTTCTTTCTTTGTTTGTGTTAACATTTCGTCAATTTATTTACTATCATTTAAAGATCTTTTTTATATATTTATCAATAGTACAGCAGATCGAATGCTTGCATCTTAAATATATGTACCTTTTATATTTTTACACCACCTTCAATATCGGATTGATTGGTTTTTCTTTTGTTTATATTGGTTGTTGTTTGTTTGTGTGTTTGCTGTACATTAAAAAATTACAATTTATATCCAAGATCCTGGTTCCTGGTTCTTTTCTTTTACTCAAACTGTGAGTCTGCGCCTAATATTTACAATATTATTATTTTTTTAATTTTGTAGCGTTCTATATGCTCTTGGTTAACCTCTGCTTTCCTGTTTTCTTTTATTTTTTGGCATCGAAACAATAAATAAAAACATTTAAAAAAGATTTAAATGTTATTGAAGCTAAGCTATAGCTGGTGAAAGAGAACTAAACTAATGTATAAAGAACGTTTTAGGGCTGCGGCCAAAAAATAGAGAAGAAAATGATCTAAAGAACATTTTCCCTGGCTTAAAAAGGTGAAAATCTTATCCACCTGGAAACTATAAGGTGACTTGGTCGGCAATAAAAACAGTTCTACAAAAATAGAAATAGGAATTGCTTGGTTATCGTCGATGCAGGATGTTGGATAGAGTGCGTATCTGTTTCTGCAGCTCCGACTCCATGCGAAAGCCCTCCTCCTCGAAGATTAACCGCATCTCCTGCAGCGCCGGCAGCTTGTCCGCCTGCATATTGAGCAGGTCACCAAAGAACTTGGTCCACACATGCTTCTTGAGGTAACGCGGCAACTTCTGACGAATCTCCCAGTTGGCTCCCCGCTTCAGCGGCTGCATATACTCACCGAACAACATCACATGCACGGTGGCCGCAATACAGAAGAGATCCGTTTCGTAGGACCAACTGCGTCCCTCCTGCATCTCGATGCAGGTGAATCCATCCGTCTGCACAACCTTACGGAACTTGGTACGTTCGGCGTCCGGAAACAGTGACATGTCGATGGCGCAACCAAAGTCAATCAATCGCAGCGACGGCAACGGACTGTCCACACTGGGCACACGCATCAGGAGGAAATTATCGGGCTTAATGTCCGCATGGATGATGTGATGACGATGCAGATGGTCCACAATGTTGCAGATCTGTGACGAGAAATGCATCACCAGGGATTCATGCATCACCTTTGTGGTAGCCTGACGTAACTTATTATTGATGTCCAGCAGAGAGCCGAAGGGAGAGAATTCGGTGGCTATTAAGCTGGCATTTGGTGCTATTATCGCCGTGGAAATGTCCATCAAACCGGGCAAAATCTCCGGCTCTGTGATGCGTTTCAGCACCTGATCACATATGTAAATCTCCCATGTATTTGGGGGCTTTTGGAACTTAAGGGCCACCACATTCCCGGTTCGCGAATCAGTGGCTTTGTATACCGAGCCATAGGAACCGCGGCCCACCTCCTTATCGATGTTGAATGTGACGCCTTCGAGGACATTGAGGGTGCGAGTGTTGGATATTTTTGGCAGTGGCGTTTGCACGATCTTGTAGCTAGCATGGGCATCATGATCGCCCGGAAAGTCCAGCTTGGCGAGGAAGGCGCGACAGAGTTCGCTGCTGAACGGATCAATGGCCTCCTTGGCCATGTGGCGGGCTATTGTCTCCACAGCCTTGGACAGCCGACGCTCCTGAGCCTCTGTGTCGTGCTGGGTGGCAAAGTACGAGTTCTCCTGGAACGTGGAGAAGTCCGCCAGGGTGCTGCTGTTGCCATTGTTATTATTGCTGGTACTATTGTTATTATTGTGCGTTTGCAATGTCTTATTGACCGATTGGAGCAAAATCTGCTGTTGCTGATGATGCTGGGAGGCGGAGTCGCGAAAATTAAGTCTATCCACAGCCAAGGAGAGCGAGCTATTGGAATTGTCCAAGGCACTGGCGCTGGAGAACGAAAAATTGGCGTTGTCGTTGAAACCGCCAAGTGCTGCTCCGGTAGCCACGCTGCTGGAACTAGCCGTGGAAGCCAACACATCCGCCGCCGAGGATGCCGAGTTGCTGTTGCTGCAAAGATCAGGCTGAAACTTGCTGCGCTTGACTTTGGTTCGAGCCCGGCGATAGCCGTTCGCCTCGCTCTTGGGTGTCGACGTCTGGCCCAGCATGTACGGATGGAAGTGGTGGTGTTGGTTGCCGCCGCCATTGCGTTGACGCTGGACGGGTATGGGAGAGCCTGGAACTGGCTCCGGCGGTGGGTAATGAAGTGCCTGTGGCGGCTGTTGGATTATCTGTTGCTGCTGATGTTCCTGGGGTTGCTCCTGCTCCTGCTGCTGCTGTTGCTGCTGGTAGACGTTCTCAATGGTATAGGCACTGTAGGTGCTGCTGGGCTCCTTTTTGAACTTGATTTGATTGAGCGGTTCTCCTGCTCAAAGGTGGTCTGCGCGCTAAACTGCACGCCATTGGTGTAAGCTGGTTCGCTAGGCTCTTCCTCCTCGTCCTCATCCTCATCTTCTTCTCCTCCATCGGAATCTTCTTCCTCGTCATCTTCGTCAGCCGCTTCGCCTTCTTCCGCTTCGTTCTCTTCGTCCTCCTCGCCTGCGTTCTCCTGGCCACTACTGCTGTTGTTATTATGCCCGTAAAGAGCTCCATCCACGGCAGTCATGTAGTAAGAGGTCTCCGACCCATAGGAATCATACAGTGCCTGCTGCTCTTGCTGCTGCGGCTGCGTCTCTTCTTGTACTTGTGGCTCTTGCGGCGGCTTCACTTGCTTGTATTTGCGGGATAGAATCTCCTCGGGACTGTACTCAATGCCGGCGCCCGGAGGATAGACCAACTGCTTGGCATAGTGGCACACCCGCGAGGGATCATCCGGCTCTTCTAGAGTCAAAGCTGGTTTCCAGGTCTCGTGATTGTTGCGTCCATACGCATGAAAATTGCGCGGCAAACGCAGGCCAGTCACATCACTGGCTGCTGCTGCTGTGGGTGACGATTGGGGCGCCGCATGGGCATTACCATTGCGATTGCCGTTCTGTTGCGGAAGCGGCTGTGGCGGTTGTTGCTGTTGAGGATGGGCATGTTGCTGTGGAACAGCCGGTTCATGATGTTGCGGAGGTGGCTGTTGCTGCTGTTGCGGCAAAGGTTGCTGCTGGGTTGGAACATATTGCGGCTGCAAATTGATGAAATTTTAACAGTTTTTTAGGGTTTAAACCAATACTTACCTCTGCCACTGGAGCAGCATACTGAGGTTGAATATGTGCTGTTGCTGTTGCTGGTCGCGGGGCAGGATGCTGCTGATGCTCATAGCGCGGCTGCTCCTGGTAGTGCGCCTGATAGCCCAGCTGTGGCTGCTCTGGAGGCTGATGAAGCTGCTGTGGTGCAGGCTGAAGCTGTGGAGGAGCCTGATGTTGCTGGAAGCCTGATGTTGCTGTTGCTGTTGCTGCTGCAATTGAGGAGGTGCGCCTGATGTTGCTGCTGCTGCGGATGATATTGCTGATAGATATTCTGCTGATATGGCTGGGGACGGTGCTGCGGCGGATAAGAATGCGGCAACTGCTGCTGTGCATAGTTTGTAAGCTGCTGCAGGGCATCCTGCTGCTGTTGATGTTGCTGTTGCTGCTGTTGTTGCCGCTGGTAGAACATCGATCTCGCATAGTTAAACTTGGAGTGTGCATGCTGCAGTTCCGCATTGCTTTGTGCCTTCTCCTGGAAGGCCAGATTGAAGACCGCCTCAGCATCTTTGAACTCCTCTCGCGACTCGTAATAGGCAGCCCATCCAATATAGAAGGCGGCCACCTGACGGCCCGTACCGCGTTGAAAGAGGACCTGGTAGAAGTGTAGCGGATCCGTTTGCATGGCTATGTACTTTAGCCACAGACGCACCAGGCGTGGGTCCTGGCGATAGTAGTCGTTGTGCTCGTAGACGGTGAGGCAGCGCTCCAGGGTTTCGCGGAACTTAAGCTCTGGATCGCTGTGCGAATGATTCTCGTACCAGCAGATGTAGTTGTACCAGTGATCCAGGGGATCGGGGCCTTGGTATAGCGAGATGGCGTGCTCCCATGCCTGCTTGTCCTTCAGGAAGCTGTGCATCTCGTCCGGACTTGGCACCGGCGGGGCACTCGCTGCGGCCGCCACGGCTGCCATTCCCGCTCCAGGAGCCGAGCCCGATCCCTGGCGCATGTACGAGTGCATGGCCATGTCAGGCGGAAGGGGGAATCCCCTGATCACGCCGCCGAGCGTCGTCCAAACAAATTGGAAAGAACCTTTCTGCTGCTGCTTTACTGGCCACTCGGAGTTCTCCGATTTGGGGTTCTGTCGCGCTCCGATTGGACACTTGTGCGCGTTCAATGCACCCGCTCGCTTAGTCCCTGGTTATTAAACAGCAATTGCACATGATTTTTTTGGCTAGTTTTTCCTTGGCTTGCTGCGATCAAAGATATTTTTCCCTTTTTTTTTATTCTTTTTTTTAATTTTTTGTTTCAATGTGCCCGCAGGCTATAACGTAGATGAATCTATAAATTCTTCAGAAAAATATGTGATTTTTCCCCTCGACGATAGCTGGTCACACTTAGCTAGAGGACAACGAGATATTTAGCGTTGCCATAATTCTTGAGAAATACGTTTGCACTGCTTTTTGAAAAAATATTGCTCCGTTTTGCAATACCATGTTAAAAGTTCTCAAAACACAGCTTTATAAAAATTTGTAAATTATTTTACTTTTTTTTAACAAGCTATATTTGTGTACTGCTGGAAAATAATATAAATGCGCTGCTATCGATAGGCCGATAGTAAAGTGCTGTTTAATAGCGCTTACAAGCAGTTGGATCGGACGGATTACAACACTGCGTGCAGAAGAACTACACACCAATTTGAAATGTTAACTTTCAATTATACATTGATACAAGTAATCTACTATTCCTACATATTTATTAGTTGACTCATCCATTTTCTTGCAACTTGTTTTAAACTGTCTGAAAATATTTAGATTAAACATCGAATATCAAAAAAGTTATTTATATATTATTGTTTTTTGTTGACTCTGAAATAGTATGACCACTGGTGTAAGGTAAAATATACCATAAAATAAGAAAAATCTACTAGATTCGTGTAATTACTGGAAGTTCCATCCCTATGCAGCTGTTTCGGTTAATTGCCACCAGAAGGCGCCACCGTTTTGCATTATTGTTTTTTTTATCAACTCGCAAGAAATTTCGTAAATTTTGTCGGAAAGAACCGCAAAAATCCGAGTGCTACTGTTACGTTTCATTAAAGTGCATATCATATATAAGTAGTATTAGTATCCCGCACACCCTCGCACTGCAACGAAACACGCGGAACGTCCTCCCTCCCCGCCACCAACGCGAATTATTTTTGTTTTTCGACCCCTGGCCGCGCGTCCGTGGTGGAGTTTCCCCCAAAAAGGTGCAGCAGCGGCGGCGAAGGAAACGCAATTGGACATATTATCGATTTGACCGCGCGTGGCGAGCGTCCTGCTGCAAACTGAGGTGTCCCCCTCGTTCCACCCATGGAGGTGTCCGCCGATCCATACGAGCAGAAGCTCTACCAGATGTTCCGCAGCTGTGAGACGCAGTGCGGCCTCCTGGACGAGGGGTCGCTGCTGAAGCTTTGCTCGCTGCTGGAGCTGCGGGATCAGGGCGCCGCTCTGATCGCCAGTCTGGGCAGCAGCCACAAGCTGGGCGGCGTGTCCTTCGGCCAGTTCAAGGAGGCGCTATTGAACTTCCTGGGCTCTGAGCTGGACGCCAGCACTTCGTCGGGATTTATGGGTGAGATAACACAAGCAGCACAAACACACACATGCAATATGCGGTAATGCTAGCTGGAAATTTCGTTGTGGGTGACTATGATATGGGAATTGTAGTTCTTTCAAGCTCGACATATCATGTTAAACCTCAATATGTCATTAATAATGACTCATTATGTCTTAATAATCATTTGGGTTTGTTTTTTTCAATATGGGGTTATAGCTAGGCCTTTAGTTTGATTTCGTTAATCTTGGTTCTGTCTTAATTAAATTTAGGTAGTTCTTGGTGACATTTTGAAGAAATTAAGGAACCCATCCTGTTATATACTCAAAATTAAAGCCACAAATAAGTCTATTAACTTTTGTAGTTTTTAAAAGATAGTTTTTGTATTCAAATGTAGATTTTAAGTTGACTAAGTATCCAGTTCTGGACTTAGACCCTAATTTAACAAATCCGAATTGGTTTTTCCACGAAATACCTATAAGAATTTTAAGCCTTTTCATGTTACAAAAAAAGGATTATGTATGAAAATAGAGCTAATGGCGATCTCATTTTCTTATATCAGATTTATAATCTGTGCAAACGTAAGCCAAGTATTAGATAATAAAGACATATTTGTATAAAGAGCAGGCACACTTTTGTAAGTTCCAAGATGTCCCTCTGGAAATTTCTGGGTCTGAATTAGGACACTCTCGCCCGAGAGCAAGGGTACATAGGCATCATTATCAGATTAGCGGATTAGCGCCTCAGGAGCAGCGGCAGCTGGTGAAGTGTCATAAACTCTTAGATGCAATTGCCAATTATTTATGACCATTGACGCCTACCTGATCCCGCTGAGCCTAAACCAAAGATGCTACTACCTGCCTTGAGTCCTGCATAAATACACGAATCATTCAGCTAAACAGTTTAGTCTTGTTCAGAATGGGAACGCGCTTCTATTACCGCCAAGCCGGCGGACAGATAACAGATCCAATCGTCGAGAAATTAGCCGCACGCTTCGGTAGCCACTTGAGAGAGACACCAATAATCTCTTCCAGTTTCTCACTAATCTGTGATTTCATTGAATCTTTGCAGAGCGCTCGCTAGTGATAACAGATGAGCCGTTGGCCAGCACATATATTGAGAGTCCGCCAGAGTCCTCTGACCGTGAGGTGTCACCAAAGTTAGTTGTGGGCACCAAGAAGTATGGCAGAAGATCCAGGCCGCATCAGGGAATCTACGAGTTGTCGGTAACGGATTCGGACAACACGGATGAGGATCCGCTGCAGCAGAAACAGCAGCAGCGCAGCCTCAACGGTGCCGATGAGCTGGGAGCCCAGGTGAGTTTTGTGGGGAAGTTGCATCAAGTCACGTACGCGGTGTGGCAGTGATACAAGATGTGAGCTCTGTAAGCCAAACTGCAGTGTAAGCAGTTTTTCTCAAGCCATGATGTTAAAGTGAGCGCTATTATTATAAATCGTTATATATCGTTTATCTTTAAATCCTTATCGTAAAACTATAATTTATATTGCTCTCCACAGGTGCAACGTTCCTCCTCCCAAAGCGATATCCATGGCAGTCGGCGTCTGCGTACCGTCCACACCAGTGGCAGCAAGCTCAAGCGTTGCGCCTCCCTGCCAGCCCGCCGGAATCTTCAGTCCAAAATGCACAATATCTCAACGGGAGCGACGACATCACCAACGGCAGCCGCCAAGCTAAAACAGCTGTCCATCCAGAGCCAGAATCAGCAGAGCAGCAGTGTGGAGTCTTTGGGTAAGTTACCGGCAACCAAACCGTTTCCCGACACCCGAAACCCGAAACCCCATTCCCCGTTGTTGTTAGCCCAAAGTACCAAAAAAAAAAAACAAATTTACGTTTGAAGCAATGATAAAAGAATCACTTGTTGGTTTGGTACACACCGCAGGCCATCACTTGGCCGCCACCGCATCCGCACCGTCGTCCGAGCACCGGAGATGCTACAACGGCGGCCGTTGGTTATGTTGCAAAGGTTTGTGCGCTCTTTTTAGAGCAAATTGTCAACATGTCAACACTCTCCCCCTCAACAAAAATCCACCCAAAACCAATCATTCTTGGTATAATCGCACCCTATGTAGCGCACTCGTTTTTACGTATAACCATAACCAAAATTACTTTTCTGGTGAAGCTGGAACAGCTAGAAGCATTTTTTCGTTGGTTTTTAAATAATATTTGAAGTTTAAATTGGATAATTAAATATTAAAAGTATACAGAGTTTCTTTAAATAGTATTTTGAGTTTTTTTTATAGATTTTATGTTTTGTATCAGCATTTTCTGCCATCTCTACCTAAAACCATACCATAAGACAAATCTAGAATGCTTAAAACTATAAATCGAATGTCTTTACACATCTTATCCGTTTATAATCTTTTTTAAAGATTCAAATAGTTTCTTTGTTTTTTTTGTAACTCCAAGTAGCTAAAGGCACTAGAAATGTTTTAAAATATTAATTCTTTGCCAATCCAACAATTGTTCCAATGTTTTAACCGATACCCAGCCACTTGATACTTTCGGCGCTTTCGCTTTCACCATCAAAACACAAAAAACCCGAAACCAAATCACATTTCCAAACCCCAAATCCCCACTCCCACCTCTGGTATCTTGGGCTATATAATAATTTCAATGTGTATATATACAACTCTTATCTAATATTCCCCCTCATGATAATTGTGGATTCCCCCTGAACTTACAGACACCGTGACGCCACAGCAACTGGAGACGATCAGTGCGCACAGCATAATCGATGCCTGGGAGTTGGCCAGCATTCTCAATTGCCGCAACCTGCTTCATATCCTTGGTTTCGATGAGGACGAAGAGGAAGTTAACCTGCAGCAGCTGACCAAGGCTTGGAGGAAGAGATACGCGGTCTCGATGACGACAGGAGCAGTCGAATATGCTGAGGCTTTGGCTGCCCTGCAGTCCACCGAGTTGGGCAACTATCGCCTCGCCTTTCGCCAGCAGCACGAGGAGAATGTGAAGCTGAGGGCCGACAATAAGGCAGCGAACCAAAGGGTAGCCCTTCTGGCCGTTGAGGTGGATGAGCGGCATGCCTCGTTGGAGGATAACTCCAAGCAGCAGGTCCAACAGCTTGAGCAGCGGCATGCCAGTATGATGAGAGAAATGACCCTGCGGATGAGCAATGATCGTGATCATTGGACCAGCATGACGGCCAAGCTGGAGGCGCAGATAAGACCCTGGAACAAGAGGAGATCCGCCTTAAAACGGAACTCGAACTGGTGCGCACCGAAAACACAGAGCTTGAAACGGAGCAGCAGAAAGCGCATGTGCAGCTCACAGAGCTGCTCGAGCAGAATATTAAGCTCAACCAGGAGCTGGCACATCGGTCCAGCAGTGGCGACGGTGTCAGCATAGCGGCATCACTCCCCAGCACAGTCCCTTGAGCCCCAGAAGGCACAGTGAGGACAAGGAGGAGGAGCTGCTGCAGCTCATGGAGAAGCTGGCTGCTCTCCAAATGGAAAATGCCCAGCTGCGCGACAAGACTGATGAGCTGACCATCGAAATCGAGAGCTTAAATGTGGAACTGATCCGATCAAAGTCCAAGGGCAAGAAGCAGGAGAAGCAGGAAGACCAGGAGGCGGCTGCCACGGCCACCAAGCGGCGTGGTGATTCACCCAGCAAAACGCATCTCACGGAAGAGAGTCCGCGCCTGGGAAAGCAGCGAAAGTGCACCGAGGGCGAGCAGAGCGATGCCAGTAATAGTGGCGATTGGTTGGCACTCAATTCCGAGCTCCAGCGTAGCCAAAGTCAAGATGAGGAGCTGATCACCCTGCGGCAGCGGGTGGCAGACCTGGAAAAGGAACTCAAGGCCGCCAAGGAAGGTAGATCTCTCACTCCCGAGGGTCGCTCCAAGGAACTGGAGGCAAGTCTCGAGCAAATGCAGCGCGCCTACGAAGATTGCGAGGACTACTGGCAATCGAAGCTTAGCGAAGAGCGGCAAATGTTCGAGAAAGAGCGCCAGATCTACGAAGACGAGCAGCAGGAGAGCGACAAGAAGTTCACCGAGCTGATGGAGAAGGTGCGCGAGTACGAGGAGCAGTTCAGCAAAGAAGGGCGCCTCTCGCCCATCGACGAGCGGGATATGCTGGAGCAGCAATACGTAGAACTTGAGGCGGAAGTCGCCCAACTGCGCTCCAACTCCATGCTAATGCTCGAGGAGAAGTCGCAGGAGATAATGGGCCTGCAGTCAGAGATCGAGGATCTGCGTCAGCGGCTGGGTGAGAGCGTGGAGATTCTTACAGGCGCCAGCGAACTCACACCAGAATCGGTGGCCCAAATGAGTGCCGAGGCGGGCAAGAGTCCGGCTAGTTCCCCCATCAGCTACCTCTGGCTGCAGAGCACCATTCAGGAGCCGGTTAAATCTTTGCCGGCGCTGGAGACGAAGCCGCTGCCAGTGCCATCGAACTGCTGAGTGCCGGCGGTGGCGGCTCACCATCGCACAAGGCGACTAGCCGGTGAGTATGCTATGAAGACTCTGTGTTTGTGTGTCCTTGGTGTATGTGCGCCTGCATCTCATGTGTCCAATCTCCCGCATTAATCTCTCTGTTTTTTATGTATATATTTATGTTCTTGTTTTGTCCCACATTTAATCCCTAATCCATGTCTACAACCTAAGCTCATTAGTTCCTAAGTTTATGTTTGTGTATGTGTTTAATAAATATAATTTATCTAAGGAAAATTATTTTTAACGAAGAAATAAAGAGGGGAGTTGAGAACTAAAGCATATTAATGAAACCCTCCTGATTTATGCGAATAAAATCATATCATATTAATATCATATTGCTATTTATATATTTTTTTTTAAATAAAAATATCAAATGAAACTAGAAAATTATTTTTTTAGTTGTTTGGTTAGGTTTTCTCTTTTTTTTTACGATTTTTTGGTCCACTTCGGGTTTTGGGTTTTTCTTGTTTAACTTTTTAATATGTAACTTGAACCTACCTTAAAAATAGATCAATATATGAATAAATACGTTCTTTAATAGACTTAATAAGCTTTTTTTAATAAACTCCATATAAACTCCATTCTCTAATTCCTGGTTATCCTTGATTTAAACAGAAACAACCTCACCACCTCGGAGACATCCATCTTTAGTACCACACCCTTCGACAGCTCCCACTCTGGTGGTCCGTCGCCCACAAATAGTGACACCACAAATGGTTCTTTAGCCGCGGCATCAGGTCCCGCGCCCATCAGCAAACCCAAGCGACGGGCACAGAGTCCACACAGGTGCAATCCGAGGGAGAAATCGCCGACTGTGAGACCTCATCGACGGCTTCCAATAAGAGCTTTGATACCCACAGTCAGGTGTCCATTAGCAAAACGTCTTGCCTTAGCCACGAAAAGTGCACCAGTCCCAATGCCTCAAGGAGGAGCTGAAACGCCTCAAGTTCTTTGAGTTGTCCCTGAAGGAGCAGATAAAGGATTTGAGCCTGCAACGTGACGGTTTGGTCATGGAACTGCACAGTTGCAGGAGGCGCGACCTGTGCTCGAAAAGGCCTATGCGGTGAGATTGTGGATATTTCTTGATTGAGATGAAGTCTTATTTTATTTCGGTGTTTATATATGAAGCGAACAACGCATCCAACACTTCAGCAGCGACTGAACCAACTGGAGCTGCGAAATCGCCATCTGCAGAATGTCATCAAGCAGCAGCAGCAATACACCGAGTCCCTGATGCAGCGTGAGTATAGGGACCTATAGGGATTTCTGTTGCAGTTAGATAAATATATTAATATTACTTTTTTTAACCAGAATCCTGGAGGCAGCATCAAGTGGAGCTCAACGAGCTGCACGGCCGGATCGAGACACAGGGCGTTATGCTGGCCGATCAGACGCAACGTTTGCAGAATGCCGACATACTTGTTAAAGATCTGTATGTGGAGAACTCTCATTTGACTGCCACTGTGCAGCGGTTGGAGCAGCAGCGGGCAAGGGTGAACCTCATCCACCAGCAGCAGCAGCAGCAGCAGCACAGGCTCGTGGGAGCCGCCGCCACCTTGGGCGGAATGCCCGGCATGCCTTAGTAACGGAACTATATAGTTTATAGAACTAGACAAAAAGAAGAGAAAGACAACAAAAACCTGAGGAGGAAGGGTGCTCAGCATCGTCGGCAGACATCGATATCGTTATGAATGTTAGACACACTCGGTAGAATAAGTTTCGTATTCGTACGTGGCGTTTTTTTGTGAATGAATGTGAAATCCATGTTGTGTGTTTGTTCGACACAAGAGCACCAAGAGTTAAGCAGGATATTATATCGAAATTTTCGATTTATAAGCCTTACACATCGATGTTTTCAAACTCTAACCGAGACGCCGCATAAACAATAACTAAAGTGACTTGAACCTTAACGTTAACTTTAAACCTTAAACTAAAAATGAAACTTAAACCTAAACTCACCCACGCGCAAAGAGGAACAATCCACACACTCGGTAACTTAATCGGTAATCGGCTAACTAAACTGATCTGAACTATTTACACGATAGATACTGAATGATAAACCCCTGATATGCATGCACTGCAATGTTGACCTTACTACATTAATTGACTACCGAAAAATAGTTAACGTATATATTTAATTATATTAGAAGAAGCAGTATTTTAAATTTGTTATGCGTCTGAGTGTAGGCGGAGCGCGTTTATCAATGTTTATATATCACGTGCCCATAACCAAATGCATCGGAATTGTTGTTAATATTATTGGTAGAAAACGAATGCAAACCAAGCAAAATTAAGAGGAATGATCTATTATATGATATTGATGATATATACTATATATTATTATGTAACGACAAAAGACCTGTAAAAAACACACGTATCTATGTATTTAAATTGCGATTTAAGTTAGCCAATACTCTATTCCTAAACGCTTTTGTTAAACCCTTTTCCTCCGCCCACAAACTAACACTCGATTTAAAAAAAACATATGTACAACAACCTCGATTTAGTTATATAGCCACTCGATCCCTCACACACGCTTCGTGTTGGGATTTTCAGTGCTTAACCAATCTTCGATCAAAATAGTTTACTTTTTAAAAGTATCAACAAAAAATATTTAACAAAAAAATATAAAACCAAATATACAATTTAAAAAAACTACCAAAGTCTATTGCATTTTATGTGGTTATTTGTAAAGTATATTTTTTAAATGCGTTTTTCTATTTTTTCAAAAAACAACAATAAAAAAGGAAATATTAGAAATATAATATTACATTCAATATTTCAAAATCTAATTTTTTAACATTACATTTATCGACTGTTAATTTCCGATAAGACCTCTGTAATGTTAACAGGCACAGTCAACATCAATCGATATCAATATATCGATAGCTCTGGCACGCGCTGGTATTGTTTATTTGTGCTGTTAACGCGAATTGGGATAAAAATGTTTTGTTTTTTGTTAGTTTTCGGTGTAAACGTGATTTTTGTGCATTTAACAACTGGTGAGTGTGTGCTTCAATGAAAAACATTAAAGAAAATAGACTGGAGTAATGAAAAATCGCCAAGGCGAGATGTTTTCCACGCTTCTTGGCCAAAGCGCGCGAGTGTGTGTGCGTGTTTGGTGCACTCCGCGGTGCATGTGACTGTGTGTGGGTGTGTATGTGTATATATGCGGTTTGTTTTGTTATTCGATGCGCAAAATGGTCATAATTTAATTAAATTAACCATTTGTTGGCAAACGCAAATGCTGTAACGAAGGCCCACAAATGCCGCCCCCATAAAAACAAACAGTGAAAAATCATTAATTTGCGTTTCACAAGTGCAGGAATCTCTCAGGGCCAAAATGGCTAAGGACGCCTTCCTTTTTGTGTGAATGTTTGTACATACATCCATATGTATACATTTACGCGATAAAAGATAAACCGGAAGGTTTATATTATACGTTTGTTTAAATAATATAATTCCACCTGTGGATGCTTTGTTTATAATTTTGTTTTATTTTGTTTAAACTTCCATTGAAGTAAACATTGTCGTTCTAATTGTTAGTTTTTCTACAGCAACAGGCAGGTTTTGCGGTGTGGTTCCAATTGGAAATGCATATCTATATCGTTCCAATTGGATTTCTATACGCATTGATTTTAAAGAAAATATATTTCTCATTCGTTGTGCACTTGCATTTGAGTTCTATAAATAATTATTGATAATTACATTGTTTACGGCAGAAACTGGTTCGCTAACAGTCCTGTTAAAGGCGCAATGTTAAAGCGTAATCTTAACAGAGGCCGCTCAGCGTTTGTTTATATGTGCGTGTGGCTTTATTTGTTATTTAAGGAAAATTGTCTTTAAAATGTGAATTGTTTTAACAATGACTTAATTCAAAATGGACAATAGGGCATAACATATTATCTTATTAATTCTTATTCTTATTTAATGAGATTTTCTATTGAAAATCAGTTAAATATTTCTTAGCCGCATGCAATTTAAAGTGCATACTTTTAGGCTGGTATCCCTTTATAAAAAAAAAACAATTTACAATTGTATTTTAGAATTTATTCCCCCATTAATTCCTTTCCCTTTGCAACAACTTCACCTTGACATTCTGATGCGTACGCAACACAATTCCGTTCTCAAAGATCAGGTCCTTTAGACTAGTGATAGGTAGAATCCTGAAGCTCCTTATAACAGCTGCCAGTAGAACCTTCATCTCCAGGATGGCAAACTTCTGTCCAATGCAATTCCTTTGACCCGCACTGAAGGGTACAAAGGCGAAGGGATGGCGATTTACCGTATTCTCCGGCAAAAAACGCTCCGGCTGAAAGACATTTGGGTTCGGAAAGTGACGAGGATCTCTCATGATGTCGTAGATCTGCAAATTGATCTGGGTATCCTTGGGCATGATCAAACCATTGACCACACACTCATCCATGCATTTTCGCCCTATAAGGGGCACCGACGGATACATTCTCAGCGATTCCTTTATAACACACTCCAAGTACACAAGTTCGTTGAATTGGAACACCGAGATCTCATCGCTATCCTCGGGAAGATTCTCCAGCTCCTCGAAGCAGCGCTGTTGGATGTCCTGGTGCAGCCCCAGTAAGAGGAATGTAAAGATGAGACAAGTAGACGTGGTGTCGTATCCTTCGAACATAAAGGTGTTGACTTCATCGCAGATTCCCTGATGATCTATTTGTCCCTCTGCCTCAGCGGCTAGCAAGGTGTCCAGCATGGCATATCGCTGCTTCTTGCCCAGCACATCTTCATCCACTTGACCAATCTGCTTGCTCTTGAAAAGACCTCTCCTTTTCTTTATAATGCGACTGGAGAAGTCATGGGCTATCTTCAGATTATCCACATGCTTCCTATAATCCCCAAAGAGGTAGAAGTAGACGATGTTGTACAATAGAGGATTGCATATACGCTGCTGTATGACCTCTTCGATGGCGTGTATGGATTTGCGATATCGAAAGCCATCGGCCATGTCATCCAATTTTACACCCAATGCGGTTTCTGTAAAAGGGATTATTAGATAAATATATAAACTACTAGAAACCCTATACTAAAAGCTTAAAAAGTGTCTTTAAATATATTTAAAAGTTAAATATATTTTAAACGTTAAAATATGAACTTTAAACATTTTTTATCAACAAAATCCTTGCAAGTCATGCTGATTTAGTATATTTTATATGGGTTAATATGATTTGTGATAACACAAAATTTATTTATAAACAATAATCCCGACAAGTCATGCTGATTTTGTAGGTTTAATATGAACTTCGAAGCTAGCAATTATATATAATTTATGTCACTTTGTCTATTAATTTATAGGCGACTCACCGCAAACATTGTTTAACGTAAATTGTGGAATAACCTGATTCAGTTCCAATTCTTTATTCACACTCTGATTCAAGACTTTTACAAGCTTGTGGCACTCCTCTCTGTAGGAGACAAATATTAATAAATATAAATATAAACTCTTTAAATAATAAAACCCACTTGAATATGGCGAGGAAAGACTGCAGGACATTGAAATGGAAGGCAGGTGTTAGAGTTTTGCGCCTGCTGTGCCATTTTTTATCTGTATTTAAATGTAAAATATTTATATATATAAAGTATAGTAAATTCTTATCGATTCTCACCCGTACTAATTAGTAATCCTTCACCTAAAAACTGCCTGAGCAACTCATAGATCACATTTTTGGTGATAAGCTTGGGATTTTGAAATATTTCCTCGGCTTCCTCCGCACGGACGACATTGTACATGGGTGCCCTGAAGAAATACCATAGATAATTTCGCCCCTCAGCCTGAGCAGCTGCATTCCGCATAAAGTTAAAGACACTAGCTAAAAATATACTTCTTAATAATACAAACCAAAAGATAATTTCAATATAAAATATTTTTCCCACTACTCACCGGGCGTAAAACTCAACAGGTCAAAGTTGTTGCCAAATCGGGTTTTTGTTGGTGTTACGAAAATCTTGCTCTCCAGCGGACTACCGTCTACTGTCTGAATTCTCTTACACAGACTTAAGATAAAGTATCGACGATCCACAATTTTCCATAATTTGGAAAAGAGGAAAACAACTAAAGGAACACACAGTAAAATCTCCAAAATCATTTCGGCTTGCAGTCCAGAGTCTGAATTCCTCACACTTTGAGCTCTGATCTAGTAATGGACGTTGCCTATTAGAATCTCTGTTGTTGGAGCCCATAAGCTCTACAATATTTTTGTTATATATTATTTAGCTTCGTATAAAACATGTTCACAGACAGAGGGCACGCGATTTGTATTAGAATATTATATGAATGCAAGTATTTTTATGACATCTGTATAATTTAAATACTGTTAGGGATTTTTATGAAGTAATGGGTTTATTAAACTTGCTTTTTAATGAGATTTTAAATTAAAATGTTTAGTGATTCTATTCTATATTACTCAGTAATACACTATAGTTAGTTGCTATTCTATATTCTAAAGATGAGTAGAACGTACTAATTGAATGAAAAAGCATTGCATTTCCCCTGTTAACCATTTAAAAAATATTAACTTTCGTTTGAGTCATAACAAAACTTGGTTATTTTTATAATATTAAAAAAACAGTATCTATCCATGGTATAACTTTAATTCATTGGCTTACACATTTTTTTTCTTTGGCAATCATTTAATTTTAACTTATTAACAAGTATCACTCCTTGAATCTCTTTACCAGTTTCACCTTTATATTTTCCTGTGTTCTAAGTACAATGCCATTCTCAAAAGTTAAATCTTCGATTTGTGTTAAAGGCATTAACTTGAAGTTCCTAATAACAGCTGCCAGTAGCACCTTCATCTCCAGAATGGCAAACTTTTGTCCAATGCAATTCCTTTGACCAGCACTGAAGGGCACAAATGAGAAAGGATGCCGATTCACTGTGTTCTCCGGCAGAAAACGTTCCGGTTTGAATTCATTTGGTTTTGGAAAATGGCGAGGATCTCTCATAACATCATAGATGTGAATGCTGATCTGGGTATCCTTGGGCATCACCATGCCATTTACAACACACTCCTCCACACACTGGCGTCCAATAAAGGGAACCGAGGGGTACATTCTCAGGGATTCCTTGATCACACACTCCAAATAGACGAGTTCGTTGAATTGGAACACCGAGATCTCATCACTATTCTCTGGAAGATTCTCCAGTTCCTCGTAGCAACGCTGTTGTACGTCCTCGTGCAGGGCCAGAAGCAGGAGTGTAAAAATGAGACAAGTGGATGTGGTGTCGTATCCTTCGAACATAAAGGTGTTGACCTCATCGCAGATACCTTGGTGATCTATTTGACCCTCTGCCTCAGCGGCTAATAGAGTGTCCAACATGGCATACCGCTGCTTCTTACCAAACTCATCCACTTCACCGCGTTGCTTCTGCTTGAATTGCTCTCGTTTCTTTTGGATAATCTTGCTAGAAAATCATGAACTATCTGCAGCATTTTAGCATGCTTTCGATAATCGCCGTAGAGGAAAAAGTACCAGTTGTAATACATGAGGGGATTGCACACTCTCTGTATTAGAACCTCTTCTAGGGAATGAATGGCTTTTCTGTACTCATTACCCTCCGACATGTCATCTAACTTGACGCCCAAAGCGGTTTCTAGAAGGATATGGAATATATATTTAGGTTCCTTCTATAAAAAATACATGAAAAGGTTTCTTACCGCAGATATTATTCAAGGTAAACTGAGGAATGACTTGACTGAGATCCAGCTCGCCATCCACTGTTTGCTCTAGCACTTTGATTAACTTGTTGCACTCTTCCCTGAAGAAAATTTAGAGCTTAAAACCTTTTAAATGCTAATTCAAAACTCACTTGAAGATAGCCAAGAACGACTGTAGAACATTAAAATGAAATGCAGGGGTCAAAGCCTTTCTTCTGGAGTGCCACTTTTGATCTAAAATAAACAAAACAAATGTAAATATAGTAAAAACACTTAGGCTGATTTATAATTAGTTGACTCACCCGTGCTAATCAACAAACCGTCCCCCAAAAATGGTCTTATCAGTTCGTAAACCACATTCTTTGTTATCAGCTTTGTGCTCTGGAATATCTCCTCAGCCTCCTCGGCGCGAACCACATTGTACATGGGTGCAAAGAGGAAGTACCACAGATAGTTCGCACCCTTGGCCTTGGCCGTGGACTCGCGCACAAAATTAAACACACTGGCTGTATTAAAATGTAATAAATTAATTAAAAAATAACCAGAGAAAATGATTACCTACCCGGCGTAAAGTTGAGAATATCCAAATTATTGCCAAATCTTGTTTTTCCTGGCATTACCACTACTTTGCTCTCCAAAGGACTGCCATCTTCTGTTCGCACTCGATGTGTTAATGAAAGAATAAAGTAGTTTTCATTAATTTTCTTTAAGAGAAACCAAAGAGCCACCAATAGAAAGGGTGTCCCCAGCAAGGCGATCCACATTTTTGCACGATTTTTGTATAATTTTTTCCTCCTCCGGATCTAGACCGTTCTAGAGCGGATTTCACAGCCCACTGAGCTGAATTGGGAATATATAGCGGCGGATCATGTCGCCAAACCGATAATCACAATCAGTATTTGTATATAGTATTACTTACGATTCCAAACAAATAACAGAAGCAGCAGCTTTTCGTTATCAGCAAGCTTTACGGTTGACTTAATTCTAATTGCGATACAATATAATAATGTTTTGAATGTTTAGTATACACTAATTATTGTTTGTTCATCTAAATGTGATATCTACGGTATATAAAATAATAGAGAGATATTAAAATACTATTTGCTATAGCTTTTGACACAATATTATGAGTGGGTCAAAGGTGAATTAAATCCATATACAAAGTTATTACCTACACTCAAAGCTAACTGCTACCTAATTACCCCTCAAGTTCCCGAAGTTCGTTTAATTTTTTATGAAATGCAATGCAATATCAATAAACCTATTAAATCCAATGGTTAGCCATCTGCCTCGGTCGTATCAAAGGATATAATAATAATAATAATTGATTGGAGCACTTAAGAAATATCGAAATCTCTAGAGAGGCATTTGAAATACTCGAACCAGCCAGTCCAGACTTATTTACTATCATTTAATTTCCCCATATGACCATTCCAGATTAACAATAACAATTTCTTGGCGGCATGGTCGTACACAGATTTTCCTCCCAGGCCAACAACGGTGCTGGATATTTTCCCATCGTTCCAACTATGGAACTGGCTACGGGGAAATACAGAAAAGAAAAGAAAAAAAATGGAAACTCGCAATGTCGCATCAAAATGCCGCATTGATTAAAGTTTGATTAGCTGCGCAGCTTGGCCAAGATCGCATTTGGGCTTGAAGAATTAATTTGAGCCAAGTTTGCAATGCGCGAGCAGAAATGGCAATGCCAGCAGCAGCAGCAGTTGCAGTTGCAATAGAAGTAAATGTGGATAAAAAAAATTAAATCGCCGTAATTACATTTTCTGTGGAAAGGACTGAAGGAGCCGGAGAGAGGACGCGCAGACATGTTGTCCAACCAGTGCGTGGACGTGGATGTCGCCGGCAATGACAAAAATAGTCAATGCAACAGCAGCAGCAGCAGCAACAGCAGCAGCAACAGCAGCAGCAACAGCAACAGCAGCAACAGCAGCAGCAATCACAAACTGCATTTGGGCATGAAAAGTGCTGTGCCGGCAATTGGAAAAACTTGCCCTGGAAAGCATGGTCAGGCATGGCCTCTCTCTCTGTCTCTGTTTCTTGTTGTTATGAACAAATGTTATTGCAGCGGCAACATGCTGCATGTGGCAGCCGCAACACAACACTCATTAAGATGCAAAAGACGTCGCTTGCCGCTTTTTAGAATTACTAATTGAATCGACGCGATCAGTGGCAATTGCAGCGGCATTGGCCGCTGCCATCAACGGCTTTAAGCCAACAACAATTGCCATTGCTGCGGTGGCGGCTCGAATGTTTGTTGTTTCAACCGCCGCTGAATGTTGCTGCTGCTGCTGCTGCTACTGTTGCAGCTTCCGCTGCGGTGTGAATATACAAACATACGTTCTCGTATTTATTTATTTATGTACGTGCTTCTCGATGCGGTTTTTGCGATTCTTTAAGGGCTCCTCCCGGTTCCCTGCCTAAAGAAATGCTGAATCTGAATCCCTGAACTCCATCCGCAATCCTCAGCGGGGGAATTGCTAAGATAACACAGATGATTTACTTGGGAACGCAGTTCCCCAAGGCATCGTCACCAGGGTTACCTATAAGGCTTGAGTAATTCCATTAAATTTGAAAGGGAAATTCGTCAGGAGAACACTTTTTACACATAATATCTTTAATATATAAGTATATCTTAATATATTCCCTAAGTTTATCCGCCTCTACTGGGTTTTTCCTTTTGAAACAGCTATTCCTTCCTGTTGCATTCCTTGCTATGTTAAACAAGCATTTTCCATCATTTTCCTGCATTTTTTTTGTGCAGAAATATTTATGTTTTAAGTGGCCTGACCTTACCTGTTGAATTTCTGGCTAAGCACAAAGTCATGTAGCAACATGTTGCTTGGCTCGCAGGCAACATTATTTGTGTGTGGCAACATGATTTTTCAATTATTGCATCGCCATGTAAAATTTGTTGTAAGATCTTGCATATTTGCCTTAACACCTCGTCCTCCGTCTTGTTTGGGGTCTGTTTTCTTTTTGTAATTTTTTGCTAAAACATTGCTGTGGTTTTTAGCCGTGTGTCGCTGACAGGCGATGGTGGCGGCAACAAGAACCGGCGACGCTTGTTAGCCATGTTGCCCGGCCTGGCTGACACTTGTTGCACGGCATTCTGCCTCAGCAACCTTTTTGCGGTCGCAGTGCCCCAAAGATCTTTGCTTTTTTGTTGGCTATCCGTGTTGTTGCTGTTGCCACTGCTGCTGCTGCTGCTTCTTTTGGTGTCGCTTCTGTGTCGTTGGCGTGTGTCTCTCGCTCCACTAAACTTTTAATTAAAATTTCGTCGTATCACAGTCGCTGCTGCTTCCTTTTGTGGCTTGTTAATGTCACCCCAAAGGAGAAGCTTGTGCAGGGTTTACTTACCACTGATTTTTTATGCAAATTAGCCAGTCTCGTCGCCAGTCTCGTTTTTCGGCCAGCCGCCAACTTTTGAGGCTTCCCGGGAGTGCGGAGGTCTCGCTCTGGAATCAGTTTTGGATCGTTTCGGATCGGGTTCCCATGCCGAGAGTTGCGTTTTGTCATTAAGTTGTCATGACCATAATAATCTTTCTAGATTGCCATAGACCAACTTTGGCATCTTCTCTTAATATAGTATTGGCCTGTAAAAAGCTATCCATCAATATGGCAATTGGCATTTTCCATTTGAAGACAGATTGCAAGTAAATTGATTATAAAATGTTTAATTAAATGAACAAATATTTCACCATCGCATGGAAAAATAATATTCCCTACAAGGTTATAAGTTTGATCTCTTGAAAAGTGTCATAAAGGAAGCAATTTATTGTCTAACTTAATGTTACCATATTCATGCAGTTTTTTAATTAATTTTCTGAATAGTTTTGTTTACTCATTTAGGCTGACTTCCGTCACCTGATTATGATTAGCTTAAAAATGCAATATTTTTTAGTTTTAATCGTTTGTGTGAGAGAACAAAGGAAGGTATAATAATACCTATTATTATAAGTTTCTCTTAACAGAAAATACCCTGAAAACCATCCCAATGTACCATAATTTTCCTTTAAACAAACCAAACGTTTATTGATAAGAAAATTGTACTAGCTCTAGTTAATAGTTTTTATGGCGTGGGACAGGTACATGGAAATATATAGACTCCCGTTTTGGATGTTGCATGGATCCGGTGTGGCAATTGGCCAAGATTTATTGACATAATGAAGACTAATTCGCGCGTCTGTGGCCGAGCATTTTGACAATTATTTATGTTGTATTAAGTTGTTTGGCGGCAGCGCGTGTAACGATGTAATTAATTGCCATGGATTAGACACTGCCAATGGCTGTTTCTATAGAGGAGAGAGATCTGGTCACGCAGATTGCCATGGTAGATGCGGAGGCACAAAACCGGGGCACCTTTGGCTAAGATTCAGTTTCAGTTTAAGTCGTTGTTGGAGCTTACTGAGTTACCAGGAAAGCCGCTTAGGCCCATAAACAACCAGGTTTATGCGCAGCCATCTGTGACGATTCGAATTGGAATTGGAAGAGGCACTTCAATTGGTCATTCGGTTTTTTTTTTGATGCGATTTTAAAGCGATTTAAATATGAATATGATAAAATTGTGACTTTGATCAATTTATACTCTTCAAGAGTGTAGGATATAAGTTGCTATATAACTTGTGGCGGTTTTGGGGAAATATATTTTAGTAGTAGAATGGCGCCTAAACCTTAACTTATCAGGCAAAAGCTATAATTAATTTACAACTTATTGTAAAACTACCGATAAGTTTGTTGTTTTATCAAAACTGCTATCAGCTACCTTTAAATTCCCTCTTGTATTCATATTTAAAAATAGTTTTTATTGATAGAGAATTTATTCTCAAAGAAACATTAAACTATATTTTCTTTTTCTTCCCTTAAAAACCCTCTCCAAAATCCAAACAAATCTTTCTCCACGATAAACACAGGCCCCATTTATTTTATGTGCCACCATCGCACCACTTTGCGTATTACTTTCAATTTAAATTTAATTAAATTTTAGCTGCCTGAACTAATTAAAAAACAAATTTCAGTTTTTACAACCGCTTCGAATGGCTCTCGACTCTCTTGCCCATAAAGTGTACACAGACTTCGGTTGAGATTCATTCAGCAAATTGAATTTGCTTTCACGGGGGACGGAGGTCTAATTTTTATTTTTATTTTTTTCGGCCATATATTCCATTTGGCTTTGGAAGTTTGATTTTTTTTTTATAGAGCAGCTACCATTATGATGTTTATGGGTCTAAGCTCATCAAAGTTTAAGCAGGCACTTTATAGGCAACTTGTATATTATTTTCCACCTATTGTTTGTCCGGATTTTGGATGCATAGACAATGCCGAGTGTTGACAGCCAGCGAGAGTGCTGCTTAACCCATTATTTAGAAATATGAACACAGTATTTTCATTTCATAAATGAGAAACTATTAAAAACCAGAAAGGAAACTAATTTCGGGAAGCCCAAGTTTATATACCCTTACAGTTTGTAAATTAAAAAGCCAAAAAGGCCTTGATTTCAATTCGGAAAACTGTCCTATGTTAGTTTTTGTTAGGTTAATAAATCTGCATACTCAATTTAAAATGTAAAAAATTCATTTTTTTTGCAATTTTTTTTAAATTTAAACGACGAAAAAATGGCACAAAAATTTTAAAAATTTTATTTTCAACGGGACATGGCTAGATAAATTCGTCTGCTGATGCTGATCAAGAATATATATGATTTATGGGGTCGGAAACGACTCCTTTGCAGTTTTACAAGGTTCTGACTAAAATTGTAATACCTTGAAATGGTATGAACAATATAATATAAATAATAAACAAACTATGATATTTTTGAT